TAAATTGGATTATGGTACCAAATATTTCCCGTGCTTTCATCTTTTTCTTATATTTTTCCAAGTATTTAAATTGACCTCATGTGATGAATTTTTTTCTTAATGGTTACTAATGTTTTAGATAATGATATTGAAAAGATAAATGAATATTTTAAATTGGTATATATTAGAGAGCACTAAAATGAATTCTTTTTTTTTGTATTTTTTTATTTCAGCATATTATGGGAGTACAGATGTTTAGGTTACGTATGTTACCCTTCAACCCCGCCAAGTCCGAGTTTCAAGTGTGTCCATCTCTCGGATGGTGTGCATCGCACTCTTTGTGTATGCATGTACCCGTCCCCTCCTCCCCCCTCCCCCTTCCCCCGCCCGGCATCCAATAGATGTTATTCTTATATGTTAAAATGAATTCTTAAATTTAAGTGATGAAAAATAATTTAAAACTAGAATCCTAAACATGTAAATAAAGGAATATAATTTGTGTGTATTGAATATTATTTTAAGGAGTAATTTGCTAACTTGTGCCTATGTCTTCAACTAATTAGTAATATTCAAAACTTCAAAAATGTTTGATCATAGAATCATATCTGCTGTTTACCTTTTGAGCAGATATTCTACTTATTCAGTTTATGTTAAGAAATATCGGACAAGTGTGCAAAGGTACATTTATAACACCGGTCATTTTTTATAATACTGAAAAATACTAGAAAAAGCCAAAATGACTAACTCAAGGTAATTGGTTAAATAAATTGCTTTATATGCACATAATGGAATACCATCATGGAGATATATACTTATTAACATGGAAAATGCTTATATTAAAATTCAAAATAGTATATAATATTAGTCCATCTTTCTTCCAAAACAAGTCCTAAGTAGGTAGGTAGGTAATAGACAGATATGGATATAAGTATCAATATAGTTATTGATGTAAATATATAGCTATAGATATAGATATAAATAAATAAAATATTTACCAATATGAAGGCAGGGATTATCTGGTAAGATTTCAGATTATATGTGTGTGCGTGTGTATTTAATTGTGATTTTTAAAAATAATATGTCTATGAGTATATTACTAGTATAATAAAAACAATAAATTAAAGAAAATAAAGCTATAATAATAGAGACCAATATTTATTGAGCACATACTGTGTGTCTTGTATGCCTCTAAATAATTTGCATGCATTGTCTCATTTTATTGTAATTATGCTGCTCTTCAATCCTTATTGTTTTGTCTGTTCAGGCTGCTATAACAAACCACCATAGACTGCGTGAGTGTGTGTGTGTGTGTGTGTGCACGCATGTGTGTTTTTCTGGGGAGCAGTTACTTCTAATCTGATTATGGGATGGGTTAATAGCACCCTCTGATAGTTTTAGTCAAACTCACCGCTCAGTTCTGTGCTGATGAAAACTATACTATCAAGACAAGATACTAAGAGCAAGCTAAACTATGCGGTGGAGATGAATTTGTTGTTTTCACCTCATTAATCTACCTGAGGTAGTTGGAAAAGATGGCAAGCAATAAGAGCTGTGATTTGGGGTCACATTTTCAAAAAGGCTGTGAAGAAACTAGGAGATAGGGAGGTTCGTCAAGTGCCAGGAGTGTTCTGGCTAGAGCAGAACTCTTTTAGAAGATGCCTAAAAGTTCATTTTGAGTGGAATATAATCAACTGTCATCTGTACTATAAATAACCCTTGAGAGCTTGTTCAGAGGCTTTACAGGGTGAATGTGTAGAATAATGAAGCTTCCATGAGAATAAAGATTCCTAATATAATCACCTGATTTACCCTATCAATCTAGGTGTCTTGTAGCAAAATAATTTCATATTCGTTTCTGTCTTTTAAGATCTCAACAGTAGATGATTCAAAGTACATTGATATTTGGCTTTAGGAAATATGCTGTGTTATCACTGCTACATCAAACGGTTGATAATATAGCAAGTTCTTCTTATTTATTTGTGTGGGTTTTTTTGATTTTTCTTGTGTTTTGTTTTTTTTTTTAGCATTTGATACTATTGACCAGCCCCCTTGAAACTCTTCTCAGCCTTCTGTATTTCTTTCTAATGTCCCTCTTACTTTGCTAATCATTGCTCCTCAGTCTTCCCTAATAGGTCTTCTTTCTGCCTGCAGTTCCATGGGGTGCTGCCTGTGGCCCTTTTTCTTCTAATGACTGTCATTAGCTTTGCTTATTGAGGCCTTGCAATTTACTTGTGCTACCCGCCTGCAATTCTCTCCTGAATTTCAGTACCTTATTTTTATTACTCTCACTCTAAATCCATGGTTGCCTGTACATCCTTCAGGTCCTAAATTTAGCAGGCATAAAATTGAACTCATTATCTTCTCACCCCAAACTTTTTCTGTCACCATTTTCCCCTGGTGCAATTAATGCTGTCACTACTCAGTCTCCTGAACTTGAAACTCCAAAATTGCATTCAGACTTCCCTTTTCCTCACTATCTCCATTCAGTCACTCAGTCACCAAATCTTATTTCCATCTCAGAAATGCCATTTGAATCGATCATTTTTTTCTCTATTCCCATTGCATCTCATCCTATCTTACACATTGGATTCCATACTTGTTTTCCTACCATTCAGCTTTCCCCATTATCTAGTCTCTTTTTCCACATTCTGCCACAGATATGTCAGTAATAAACACATTTGAACTTCTAATTCTCCTTCTTAAAAATGACCTTTGGTTGCCTACTGTCCCTAGTTTATGAGGCCCATCCTAATCTAATCTCATCCTATTTTTCTTGCCTCTTCTCAACACAAAACCTATTTTGTGACTAAACTGAACTCCTCACTATATCTCACCTTCTTACGCCAGTGTATTTGTGCATGTCATTCCATTAGTTTGCATTCTCTGCCCACATATGATGGACAGGTCATTCTTGGCTCTTATTTCCATAGCATTTACTTCTGAACAGTATGGTGTAGTAGTAATTAGGAGTCAGAGTGCTGAGACCAGACTGTCTGGGTTTATAGACATAATTACTTAATCACAGTGCGATCTCTCTGTGCTTCAGTTTTCCTTATATATAAAATTGGGACAGTAATAGTGCCTATCTATTAGGGTTGTTGAAGACGGAAAGAGTTAATTCATGTGCAATTCTTACAATAGTGCTTGGTACATAATAAGCAGATAGTAATCATTTGTTGCTGTGTCTACTGTGATCATGATGATAATGTTTTAACAGTTTCCCTTGGAAGAGGGCTAAAATAATTGCTTATCAATACTGGAATCAACCCAGAGAAACATGGCCCTACCAAAATAAAAGTATTTTGCCTATAGAAATCCTGGATCCAGTTTGTAAGCTAATACACTTTAGCTACCTCATGGCATTTCTAGTCTCTCTGAAGTTATCCACTAGTTAAAATTCAACTAGTACTTGGATTGGTGCATGGACTTCTACTTGTTCCCAAACTGACAGTCCCTTCATTATCAGTAAAGATTCTGGAGGTTCTTCATTTTGTCAGTTACATGGTTGATGGAGCAATCTATGCCATGGGTACACCTTGGGGTGATGTGAATCAGACTCCAGACCAAGGTAGGAGTCTTAAGTGTAGCAGAGGGAAGTTCCTTGTGTCAATTTAAAGCTTCCTAAAGTAAATACAGAGTCAGAAATCTGGTTATCTGGTTCTCTCCTCTGTCATACTGTGGGCAACATCGTAAGAAATATTACGATTTACACCAAAATTAGAATTTAGCAAAATGTTTACAGGCACTTTAATTTCTATGAAACTGCTACAGACTTATTTATTTGAATGTTATTTTTTATTTTGACAACTGTGGTCCTGAAAAGTTAAATGTAACTTGCAGAGTTTTTTAACAGACTTTGCTGTTTAAAGCAATTCTATAGTAAATCATTTTGAATTACATCCTAGTTTATTAGTTTTTACTTATTAGAATATTCATATACTAGTTTCTTTAAAGTAGAGTACACTTGTATTGGCTATGGTACTTTCTAACTCATTGGAGAAACTTGTGGTTTAGAAAATCGCTGCATTAATTAATTGTGGTCAATGAAAGTAAATTGTGGAAAGTAATATTTAATTTTTAGGGAAAACAAAAGAAGCCTTAAAGTAGAAATCCAACTTGGGGAAAACAGTAAGAGCCAATCTACTAGATGACTGATATCTAAATTTGATTCTCAGAATAAAAACTATATATTTGTTATTGTTCTATTTCATTTTTTAAGTTTATTGGGTTTCTTTCTGGTTCTCAGAATTATAATGAGAAATAATATCTGAATGGATTCCCAACCAAGTGTCCTAGCTACACGTACACACATACACATGCAAGCGTAAGTGCAGGCACACTTGAAATTAGGGATAGATCTGTAAAAGCAATAGGGAAAATTAATAACAAAAATAATGACTTGACTTTCTGTAGGACCTAAAGTTTATACCATACTTACCTAATGTGATGTAGTACAAAAAGACTTTGGATTTTAATCAGAAGAACTACATTTTAATGGATGCTTTTTTACTTATTCTCTATGTGAGGTTGGGAAAATCTCTTAACTGCCCAGAGCTTTAGATTTCTCATCTGTGAAATGAATATAATAGAGACTTCCTTCAAGGATCAATAAATGACGTACATACAAAGCCTTTGGAAATTGTAAAGCATTGTACAGATTTCAGAGATTACAGGAATAGAGATTTCAGAAATTACTCAAAGATCTCAGAGATCATTTTAGAGATGAAATAAGTATGACAGAAATAACTGTCCTCAGTTTGTGCATGAGGAAGCCGAGATGTGCAGCAAGTAATGAATGGCCAAACTAAAGCAGGACCCCGGGCTTCTGAGTCCAAATGGGGTACTTTCTGCATGTTCTACATGCTGTTTCTGAACAAGGCCTGTGGTTCATTCACAGGGCGCAGCTATTATAAATCAAAGCCTAAACTGATTTTAAAGACTTTAAAAACATGTGATTATTATTATCTTAGTAGGAAATGCTAATGCTATTAGGTGATATTTATATTTGTCTTTTAATGCAGGTAATGAATTTGGGCATCCTGAATGGTTAGACTTCCCAAGAAAAGGAAATAATGAGAGTTACCATTATGCCAGAAGGCAGTTTCATTTAACTGATGATGACCTTCTTCGCTATAAGTTCCTAAATAACTTTGACAGGGATATGAATAGATTGGAAGAAAGATGTGGTTGGCTTTCAGCTCCACAGGTAAGCTCTTTACTCTAAGTGTTATGTTTTAGTCACCAAAGCTGTACATGCTTAGAATGGCAATAGATTTAAATCTATATGAAGATCTTTTAAAAAGCACTTTATTATTCAGTGCATAGTACCCTGCAACACTTCAGGTTGTCAAAACATGTCACTGAAGTCTCTTCAATAGATAATGAAATCTTAAACATAATGCCCTGCTTACTTTCCTGGTTAGTTTGTTGTTGTTGTTTAAATTTAGTAATTTTTATTTTTATTGGCTAAACTAAATGACAAAAAACTCTGCATGAAACCCATTTTGGAAATTACTATGGAAACATCTTAATTGTTTTAACTTTTTTTTATGTAAATGATTATGCTGTCATAAAGAAACTGCTTTGACAACATGTAGATTTCTTTATTCTTTTTTTTTCTCTGTATTGGTCTCTAACCTGTCATTTCACTAGATGTCGTTATACCTGCATGCTGTTTTGTATTTTTCATGAGCCTGTCTTTCCTCTGGAATTAAAGTCTCAGTTTTCAATAAGTTTTAGAAAATGTAATTAACAGGTATGAATTTTATACAGGCGTCTTTTTCCTTGCAAAAATTAGCGTATAGTATGTGTTTGTTATAATCCATTTACTTTATACTGAGGCTGTTCGAAATTACTGTTGATGTGTTTTTACTTTGGTGTCTATGATTCTTTTTTTTAATGGCTGAACAAAGGTACTTATATATTCAGTAAGACTGGCTGCATGGCACGAATGCCCTAATCACGTTTATTAGTAATGCTATTTCCAGAAGAGAGAGCAAAATGACACTCCTTTTCAATAAGAACAATGTTGAATACCAAAAGACATGCTGTTTACTCTAGAGCTTTAGTTCACATTTCTAAATTACTGAGAGTGGTGCTGCTGATGTGCATGGCAATAAGTTCTCTCAAAGCTGGAGCTGGGCAAGGGTGGTATTGAAAAAGCAAAGGCTTCTCACAGCCAACTTGTAAATATATGATGAATAAAATAGGAGAGTTGGCAGATGTAATTTCTTTGCAGATGTTCTCTTTTTATTAAAAAGAAAAAACACCAACATACTGTAGTGACTTTAGGTTGCTATTGAATCTGACAAATTTGTGTAAAAATGTAAAATTTTTAAGATAATTACAGTTTCGGAAACTAGATATAACAATGTTACATTAAATTTTACAAAGTAATTGTGTGCATCTTACCTCATGAATCTGGGGACTAGAACAAAAGTCTTAAAGAACACTGACTTATAAGTAGATCTAATATGTACGTACAAACACTTCATATATAATACAAATATCATGTTTTTACTTAAAACCTAAGCCACAACACTATTCTTCTATTTGTGCTTTGTTTCAGGTTGCAAGTGGCTGGTGAGATTGTTATATTCTAAATAATTTTTGAGGCTGTTGTTGGCTTAGAGTTTGAAATGGCAAAATTGTAAGATATTAAAAAAAAATAATGTTCTGGAATTTTCAGTTGGGGCTGAATAACTAACAAGGCTATTAGAAAGACAAGAACAACTTTTTCGTGAGCAGTGTACTTGTGGTACGCTATTTAAATGATATTGTTTAAATGTAACATAAGTCTTAATTCTTACAGGCCTATGTGAGTGAAAAGCATGAAGGCAATAAGGTCATCACTTTTGAGAGAGCAGGTCTTGTTTTTATTTTTAATTTCCATCCAAGCAAGAGCTACACTGATTACCGAGTTGGAACTGCATTACCCGGGAAATATCCTTTTTGTTGCCAGTGAATATGACTATTTGCATTCAATTTTTTTACTATATCACAGAATTATAGAAAAGACTATTGCTGATCTTGGTGACAGTGGCTTTTAGTCTCCTCATCTGAAAAACGAGGAATTTGAAATAGTTGATTGATAAATCTTTGCTCAGCTCAGTTATATCAATTGTTCCTAACATTTGTTTTGGCTCTAAAAAGTATGATTTTGAACATATGTTAAATAATATTTTGTTCCAACAAGCAATACAGGAGATAATTGATTCTAGCTTTTCCTCTATGAAAATATTTTGCAAGTTGCCTCTGAAAATTGTCTCCTTTCCCCTTCTCATAGGAAACAACAGACCATAGCTATAAAGACAGCTTCCTTCCTTTTTATCTGTTCCTTCTCCTAAAATTCAGGACATAGCTCACCTTTATAGGCCTGAATTGGTAAGGAGGCAAAGCAGGGAGGCGTCAGCAATGGAAATAGCAGGGAGGATATTTTTGGTGTTTTCTATGTATTCATTTACTCAACGCTTTCATTCGTTTCAGATATTTACTGAGCACCTCTTTATTGAACACCTGTGTACCAACTCTATGCTAGATACTGTAAAGAGAAAAGTTTTCCTGGCAGATATACTCACTACTCTCATGGGAAAAAAAAAAAAATATGACAGATTCAGGACCTAGCAACAAACCAGCACAATTTTTCAAGCAGGCCATAAAAATAACATGCTTCTCTGACGCCCTAACGATCATTATCATCTGCCACCTGAGCAAAATGCCTGTGCCAACATGAAGTCCTATGTGTCAGGGTGTCTCCAGCTACCATAAAAGAAACCCCCTGTTCAACTGGATGAAACAATAAGGAAAATGTATTTGTCACATAGTAGAATAGTAGAGTTAACCCAACATTTCAATAATATCAAGTTCTCTGGTTCATTCTTTCAGCCTTCCAACTTCTAGTGTATCAAAAAGGTATCAACTGTTATAGTTTGAAGACAAGAGCCATAGTTCTAAGTGTCATCCACCTTCAGACACAACAACATGCAAACAAATTTTACTTTTTGTGTCTCTTTTCAAGAAAGAAGTCATTTCTCTTGCAAATTTCCTTTCATATTCCTTTGACCAGAACTGGGTCTCACATCCCCAAAAACATTTTTAGGAAAAAGAATGGCATCACCATGAGTGGCTTAGTCAGAAATTATCCGAGTCACAGGAAGTGGACTCCTTGGTGAAGAGAACACTCAGACAGAATGTTACTCTGCCAATAAAAAGGAAAGGGCTAGTGCTGTCCAATAAGGTAGCCTGCAGAATGTGCCACCACCCTGTGCTGCTCAGTGACATTAAGGGTGGTGAGAAATGTTTCCCTACCTTCCCCCTGCCCAGCCAATCGCTATCCCACATGACATCAGGGCATTTAGGAGAGGAGGCTGTAGCTAGGACTGATGGCCCAGTGTGCCCCAATTGACGTGGAGAAGAGTCTATGTCATCTGTATCTTTGTATATACAAATAAATCAATGTGATGGGGTCACCTACACTAAAGAAGTAAGGTACTGTTCTGGGAAGGAAATGTTCTTACCATCTCCATGAAAAAATGCAAACAAATACTAGATGTTTAGCAATTTGTACATGACTTTTCTCATCTCCAGATTGCTAAAGTAATGCCTATAGACTAAACCCTTTTATTCTTGATAATGTAATATAATTAAACCAAAATACATTTACAAAATGCTTGGTATCTACTGTAATCTTTGTTGGTATCTTTGCAGTACTGTCTTTGACCCTAAGTGAGGGTGAAGAGATGTGTAAACTGAACTGTGATGTAAGGCATAATGCAATAAATGGAAAAAGGGCAAGGATGTTCCATGGAAGGACAGAGGAAAAGGAAAAGAAAAAATAAATAAATGGGAGCAGGGGGAAGAGAGAAAGATATTAAGGAAAAGACCTTTACAACTAGACCTTGAGAAATGGATAAAATTATAGCAGGAAAGAGTTGAGGAAAGCCATTCCAGCTATTGGAAAGCATAGACCATCCTTAGATAATGCACAGTACAATGGATTAATTGGAGAATGATGACTATAAAAGGAAGTAGTAAGATAAAGCTGAAAACATAGATTGAGATCACATTGTAGAAGATTTCAATGCCATATTAATTAGTTTAAGCTTTTTTCTATGGTTTAATAGTGAGTTGCCAAAGATTTTTGAGTAGGAAGCTATTGATAAGAATGTATGCTTTAGTATAAGTTCTCATTTACCAGTGTGCAAGAGAGCTTTCATGGGGAGAAAGATTGGAAGTACAGATATTAATTATGAGAATTTGCAATACACCTAGAAGATAATTAGGGCATTAACTAAAGTAATGGGAATAGAATAGAAAAAGCTATGAGAGATGGTTCTTTCTTGTAGTGAAAGAACTTAGCATCTGTTTGGACATGGAGTGTAGAAAGGAAAATGCAAAGTTTCGCTTTGAACAACCGTAAGAATGCCAGTAGTATTATTCCTGAGGATAGCAAAGAAAAGAGAAGGAACCAATTGGGGGAGTAGAAATATGAATTTAATTTAGGATTATTGACAAGTGAAAAGACATGGAATTTTCAATGACGTTTAGGAGAAAAGCTTTGGCTCAAGCTACAATTATCTATCCAAAATCTATTAATTTTGATGAGCAAATATCATTGAATGAAAACATATATAATAACTTAGTATCTTTTGAGTATAATCCACCAGCAAGTTAGTATATATTTACTAATACAGAATTACACTGAATAGGAAAGCCTGGTTTGGTTTTGATAAACCTTGACTCAAATTGTGTCTTCTGAAATTTAGCAATCTGTGTAAACATCTATAGTTACGTGTTACAAAGACATCTTCTATTTTAGTAAATAAATACTGAATGATTTGCATTAGTGACCTCTTTCAGAAGCTATATTAATTATAGGTTGTAATGATACAGGCACTTTGGAAAATTGGGCCACGTGGTTATAGAAGTGACAATTGAAGCCTCAGCCATCTATGGGGTCTTCAGAAGAATCTCGAAGAAATATCATTGGCCCATTTCCTACATTTTGTCTTCTACAAATTTACACACACTTGGGCCTTATTTATTCTTGTTATCTATCTCATTCCTGTCTATCAACAAGCAGAAAGAGTAACTAATTTACATATGTTATTGCTTCCTCTGAGGACCTGTACATTTTAAGAAGTTTCTTTTAATACTCAAAAAGTATTCAAGACCTAATGGCCCAGATATGTAATTGATGAATTTTATTACAATGCTGTCTTTTTGGTTTTTTTTTTTTTTTTTTTTTTTTGATTTTTTTTTTTTTTTTTTTTTTGGACAGGAAGTGACAAGGAGAGCATTTCCAACATACCTCTACCACACTTTCTAGTTACCTATATGTTAATTATGCCAGCCCTAACTCTGAGATTGAAATCATAAAATCTTCTGGATTTTGATAGATCCTGTACTCTCCCCTTCTAGTTCAGTGTAGAAGTCCTATCTAGAGATTCCTTTACATATAATTAGCTAACTGTTATTAAAATACTTTTCAGTGCTAAGAATCTCACTATTTTATGAGGTAAACATTACAGTTTTTTAGTTATTAAAAATGATGTCTCATATGTTAATGTCTTAGTTCTATATTTTGGGGCTAATAACTGTTCTACAAGCCTGCTATTCAAATCAGGAAGGTATTTAATGTGCTCCTCATAGTACCACCTCTCCTAGTCTTGCCACTTCCAGACCAAATACCTCTAGTTTGTTCGAGGGTTTTTTGTATAAATTTAATGAGTTCAAGTGTAATTTTGTGACATTAATGTATTATGTATGGTGAAGTCTGAACTTTTAACATATCCATCACCTGAATAATGTACATTGGACCCATTAAATAATTTCTCATCTTTCAAGTGCTTCCTACACTCCCACACTTCTGAATCTCCATTGTCTATCATTCCACATTCTATGTCCGTGTGTACACATTATTTAGCTCTCATTTATAAGTGAGAATAAGTGGTGTTTCATTTTCTGTTTCTGAGTTGTTTCACTTATGATAATGGCAGCCAGTTCCTTCCATGTTGCTTCAAAATATGTTCTTTTTATGGCTGAATAGTAGTCCATTGTGTGTGTATGTGTGTGCGTGTGTGTGTATATACTACATTTTCTTTATCCAATCATCCATTGATGGAAACTTAGGTTGATTCTATATCTTTGCTATTGTGAATAGTGCTGTGCTAAACATACAAGTACCTTTTTGATATTTACATTCCCACCAATAGTGGATAAATGTGCGTTTTCTCCATATCCTCGCCAACATCTTGTTTTTCTCTTCATAATGCCTATTCTGACTGGGGTAAGATGATATCTCATTGTGTTTTTAATTTGCATTTCTCTGATGATTAGTGATGCGGAGCATTATTTCATATGCTTTTTGGACATTTGTATGTCTTGCTCTGAAAAATGCGTATTCATGTCCTTTGCCCACTTTTTAATGGGGCTGTTTGTTGTTGAGTTCCTTGTAACTCAAGGAAGGAGAGGGAGGGAGGGAGAATTCCCTCCCCCTCAATTTCTTTGAACACTTTCTGGAGGATTAATACCAGTTCTTGTTTATACATTTTAGAGAACTCAGCTGTGAGTCCATCTGGTCTGGAGTTTTTCTTTTTTGGGAGATTTTTTTTTTATTACTAATTTAATCTCAATACTTATTGGTGTTTTCAGGACATGTATTTCTTCCTGGTTCAATTTTGGGTTTTTTTAAAATAGACTCTTAAGATACTTTCCAGACCTCTTACCATTATATCTCCATTATCAAAATTCTCCCAGCATTTGTTTACATTCCTCCTACACTAACAGCAGTGTATTCCAGATATGGTCTTGCAAGTATGACATAGAGTGACCCATTACCTTCCTTTACCTTGAGGCTATTCTCTTACTAATTAGTTAAAAGTTACATTAACTTTCCTGGCAGCCATCACATTTTTGCTCACATTGTATTTGCATTCAAATAA